GGATTAAAGCTATCAGTTTATTTTCTTATTGTCTGTGTAGGAAACTTTCTTTTTGGTGTACCCTGGCTTTAGTTTGACATTATCCTTAGTAAGTTGGGATTATGAATGTGGTTTTGATCAGACAAGTCCATAGAAATGTATAGGGAATGCTTTATAATTCAAAATGTTTGCTCCTAATTATTTTTTCCCTTAATTTTAGCTTTTAAATGAATTTTTATTTAGTAATCACATTTGGAAAATAGAACATATTTTGAGATTTATTATTTATTTGGTCTATGATTGATTGAGGATTCCTTACAATCCCATAGGCTCTTGCAACCCATTGAGTTGGGGACTGTCAGACTTCCTTTCCTAAACTGAGATTAGGTACTGTCCTTGTTTGGGAACCTCACTGGCCACTGAAAGCTCTGATAGTCTCAGTCTGGTAATCTTACAACTTTAGAAAAATAAAGATTCCCACGATAAAGAAAAAGTATCATGAGGTGGTTGGAGGTCTAGAGATTAAAGCTGCAGAACTGGCTCCTGGAATTAGAACTTTGTGACTCTTAGCAAGTTATGATTCTTCTCTGAGCACCTTTAGTTTCCTTATGCAGTACTTGTTATCTTGACCAAATGCTGGGAGGTTTTATATTATGTTAAAATATTTTTTTTGCTCATAGGTAAATGCTTCTATTATTTGCATAAAGTTTTAGGTAAATGTTGTGGATTTTTAATAAATGATTCTTGGGCCTAATACAGGGACTTTGTGATGTTTTACATGTAGATAAGATACATTTCAGCTATCTGTGGTGATGTAAATTTGCTGTATTTCAATCATTTAAAAATCATTTTAATTTTAGAGATGTAGCTATTAGTACCTAAGAATACAATGATTTTCTTTGTATTTACTCCAGGGTTTCTGGTACATCTTGGATCTGTAGCATGACTCTTTCATCAATTCTGAAAAAAAAATTAAGATTCTTCAGCTATAGTTTCTGCCGTACTCTTTTTTTCCTTCCCTCTATAACACCAATTAAATCTATATTATATAGTTTGTTATGTCCCATTTGTCCCTTACACTTTCTATCATTTTTTTCTCTCCTTATTCCATTCTGGATAGGTTTTATTTGCCTGTGTTCCAGCTCACTAATTATCTGTTCAGCTATGCTCAATCTGATTTTAACCCCATCTATTTTATTCTTGATTTCAACTATAGTGTGTGTTTTTTTGTTTTGTTTTGTGTTGTTTGTTTTTTGGCTAGAATTTTCAGTTGGTATTCCCTCTTCTACCCCTTCTCTCTTTACAATAGATTCTAATTCTCTGGTGAAAATCTCCATATTGTCATATATTTTCTTGAACATATCAGTCAAACTACTTTAAACCTGTGTCTGTAAACTTCAATATCTGGATCACTCAGGTCTATTTCTCTCATCTTTTCCCTTCTGTTTAAGTATCTTGGTTGGTCTAGTAGTTATTATAATTTTTATTGATAACTTTTGATTGAATGCCAGACATTATATGCAGACTTAAACGCAATTACAGTTGCGAACCTAATATATTTTTCTAGAGAGGATTCACCCATCTTCTGGTAGGCAGGTAGAACAGAGGCAGATCACCTCAACAGTCAAGAACTAAGGTGACTTAAAGTTGGGTTTTAGGTTTTGTAAACCTCTAGTTTGCCCAACTTTGGTAACCCTGCAGGGAACCTAGCTGAGAGACTGGATTTTTATTGGTCCTCTCCTGCTTTTGTCTCTCCAGCAGCATGGGAGTCCTAAAAGCTTTTCCTTGCTTTTCAGTTGCTTTCTGCTGTCTTTTTTAGCTTCTTACTCTGTATAGTTTACTAGTAAGAATCAACAAATGCCTCAAGAGGAAAATCAGTACATAGTGTTGTTGGTTTTGTTCTTCTGTGTCTCCCTTCATTATGGAATCCTGGGTGTTATGGCAAGATCCAACTACCAAGTTTTGTTCCTTTGGCCCTGTGAAATTATTAAAAGCTCTGCTGACTTTTCTGCCCTTTAGTGGCTGTCCTTTCCTGGTTTCTCAGTCCCTTTCCCTGTGCCATTAAAGAAATAGATGGAATGAACTGAGAGAGGGAAAGCTATACCTATAGAAGGTGGGATTCATTTCAATAGGTTTTTGTGTTGTTGTTTTTTTGGCATTCCAGTCTTAGTTCCTCAGAAAGTCTCTGATACCTTAAGAGCTTTTTTCCTCCTATGTGTTATACAGCCTTTCTAGTTCTAAAAGGGAATGTTTTTCTGCCACAGGCTATTCCAGAATCAGAAAACTGTGTTTAGTTCTTATGGAATAGACTCATACCTTGTAGGTTATGAATTCCTCATAATGATATTAATGTAATAACCTGACACTTGAGCCCCATATTTTTTTGCTCAGTGTTTTTCTTCATTTTTCCTTTTGACACTTTTAAGTGCTTATTACTGATATCTGATGGGAAAAATTATGGAATAAACATAGCATTTTTTGTTTAAAATTGTTTTAAGTACTTACTGACTAGGAGTTAAAATGAGATTTTTATTCTTGGTTATGTTGATTTGTAAATCTCTTGAGACTTACTTGTTTATGATGTCCAGAAATTGAGAATTTTATCTTTGCCAGAAATATATAGCTATTCTCCTTTCCTGTTAATGTAATTTTTATATTGTCTACCTTTTTACTAGAATTTTTATGGGAATATTATATTTATGTGAGACAATGTTTAGAAGGAAGATACTTGGGTCTAATGTAAAGTTGTTGGTTTCTAAGTATTGTCAGTATTTAATACTATTTAACTTTCCTTACATTCCTTTAGTATGACTGATATTTATTATAATCGTCATCTATGTATTTGTTGTTAAGGCATGTTGTTTTATATAAATAGCAACAGTAAATTATTTTCAGCATCCTTAGATATGTACCCTTTCCCTTCCTTTCATTGTCCCCTTTTTTCCTTTCCCTTCTGATTTAAGTAGTTTGAGGAGAAGAGCTATAAAACCTAATTCCTACTTATTCTTTAGCTGTTGCTAAAATGTTGCTTTCTCAGGAAACCGTTTTACCCTGTCCCCCCAATGTGTCTGGCATCCCTTCCTCTGCTCCAACAGTTAAATGCTTTCATTAAAAATGTATACCTTTCTCCTATGTCACTTTATACAATTTTAATTATACATTTATTTGTGTGATTACTTGATTAATAGCTATCCCTCCAACTAGACCACAGGCTTCATAGGAACTATGGAAATTTCCCCCCTCCCCTCATATCATTGTAGTCCAGCATAATGTTTATTAAATTAACAAATTAGTGAATTAGCTGTCAAAAAATAATAATTGTTCTATAGTTATGGACATATACATCTATAGCTATGTATGTATACATCCATACATACATACACATAGAAAAAGATCCGAAATCTACAACAAAAAGAAAAAGATAAGAAAAATATTAGTGAAAAGTTTAGACATGGTAGCTAGCCTTGATCCAGAAGGTCCACTTTTGTATTTTCATGGTTCAATGAACAGATGGTACTTTTTGACCAGGATATAGGTCTGGGTTAAGTGGGACACAGGCTGGATTTCAGCTTTTACTCCTTAGTGGGTTCTTCTTGCCAAAAAAGTGCAACCTGTGCAACAGTATATAGCAGCCCTGAACTTTATACCTGATAGTAGGTCTAGAAAGATACCAGAAAAAAATAAAAATAAAAGGAGAAGGTTGAAATTTTAAAAATAGAGGAAAATTTTTCTGAGTTGAAGAAAGATTGAAGTCATTAGTTTGAAAAGGCTTGCTAAATGTCAAGAGACTGAAAAAAAATACCCTCAAGAAGTATACATTCTGATGTAGGAGCCTGGTGCTAGAAAAGCTGCTCACATGAACACTTTGAGGAAGCCACATATGCTGCAGGAGTGGAATGCTGAAGAAACATCTGTAGTGCAGGAGTCTTCTGGGTAAGCATACTCGAACAAGGGAGCAAAATCACTCCTATTTCTTGAGGTGACATTTCTTGAGGTGACTCTCCTGCCCCCTCTGCTGACAAAGCTTAACTTTTGCCAGCCGGCAAAGGAAAATTAAAGGGCCCAAATTCATTTTCCAAGAGTAGGCAAAAAGGGTGAATTAGGAGGTGAGAGTGAATAGGTCCATAATTGGCATACCTATACTGTAGCTTTTGATGTGATCTTTTAAACTTTCTCAGTGTTTCATTTATATTCAAGCTGGTTAAGTTTGTTTAGTGTCTGAAGTTTTCTTTTTGGATCACTTGATGCCCAATATTGTTTTAGTTGAATTAATATTACCAGTAGGCTTTTAAATTTTCATTTTCCATTCATTCTTATAAAATAATAGAACTGCAATAAAATATTTTTAAAATTATAAAAATGGACACTGGGATTGCTTTGGAAACAAATGTTGACTGGTATGTTGGGCATGTTGGCATGTAGGATCTTAACTGGCACAGTATTTTAAACTATTAGTTTATCAATTGGTGAACATTCTGCATTTGATAAAGGAAAGGCTGAGAGCTTTAAGCATGTAAGATACATATATGTTGTCTGAAAGTTGAATGAGGAGAATTGATTATCATCTGTAATAAACTTATTTTCAAAGTTTTATCAAACTGTTTACATTCCCTATAATAATTTAAAAAGTCAGAAAAACACTTCAAATTTATATTCTGGGCTACAGTGATCTGTAATGTGACTTTACATGTGACATATCTTATTAAGCTTTGAGGAGAGCATTAAAACCAAACAGTCCTGAGCCTTATCCAACCAGTAATTATGTTATAGTTGTGAATTGTGAATTTTACATGAACAGACATATGTAGAACTGAATTTTTAAAAGACCAGCATACAATTAAAGTCATATAAATCATAGACACACTTTGAAAAGTTTATATTGATACAGAGATTTCAGGAGAAATTTTATTCCAAAGTTAGAATAAAAGCAAAGTAAACAAGTTTTTTTTTTTTTTTTATAGAGAGTGATATCCATTGTAATAATATTTGGTCTAAAGTACTTTTGAAATTTTTTTTTCTTAGTTTATCACCATCATTTATGAAATCAGACCTAGGGAAAGAACTAGGTCTGGGGACAACACGTGCATAGTCTTAATATAGCAAACGCTTAGCCTGCCCTGATTATTACCAAATCAGAACAGTGGGAGTGTTTGCAGTGAATTTTTAAAATAGGTTTAAGAATAGTTAAATATATTTTTCAAATGCTTATAGATCCTTTGTAGTATTTCTGAGGAACAGAGTTTTTAAAATGCTGTGCCATAGGACTTAAGAGATGAAAGATATCTATTAAGAACAAGCATGTCAAACTCAAAAGGCTAACATGGGCCAGATAAACAAGGTTTAAGTTTATGTGGGCTGCAAAAAAACAAAAGCTTCAATTTTCATAGAAACATAGGTTTATTTCGATAGAGACATGCTGAATACAAAGGGCTGAAATAAATGAGTCATTGTTAACATGAAAAAATAGAACATTTTAATAAAAATTAATATTTTTTTCTTGAACATTAACTTACCAGACACTGAACAACTGCACAAATTAATAAGCGTAATGCAAATAAACCTATTTTTCTTGTTCTCTGAAAGCGAAATATTTCCTGTTGCGCACATCAAACAAGTCAGTACAAGAATAATGATGTGGTAATCGGCTGCTAAAATACTCACTGCTAGTATTAGTGGAGAGATATGGTGTGCCTGTAAGGGAAATGAATGCAACACGATTATAGTAATCAGTCATTAGTGAACGTTGTAGTTTGTTATTAATAATTAGGTATAATAGGACATTGTAAAAATTACAAACTTTTTATTAAAACGTTTCTTACATACTGTTATATTGGCTGGGCCGCCAAAATGTTCATTGTGGGCCCCGAGTTTGACGCGCTTGATTAAGAGGGTAGGGGGGAGAAGTCTCACAAAACGAATGCATTTGGATTGGTTAATATTGGTTTAATCTCTCACCATTAGTACAATTTGAATTATTGCATTAAGCTGGGGGGAGGAGTTAGATCTGGTACAAAGGAAAACATGAAAAAATCTAAACAGTGTAGCATAGAGAGAACACTGAACAAGGACAGGAGACTTGGGCTCTAATTTCAGTTCTGCCACCAATTGATTGGTAATTTTGGATCAATCATTTAGTTTCTCTGGCCTTTTATTTATTTTCATACAAAACGAGAGGATTAGATTAAGGCCTTTTTGGCACAGGATAATAGCAAGATGTTGATATTACAGAATAGTTTTTTAAATAAATGTACCTTCCCCATTAAACATTTAGTAACTCAAATTAAGCTAATTTGCCCAACAAAGATATTTTGAGAACTTGATTTAGTAAGAAGGTGATTATGGTTATTTTCATGTAATTAATTACATGTAAACGCAGCTTTTGAGGGTGCTTGGAAAGAGTTTGATATCTTAAATTTCTAATTTCTTTGTAGATATATTGTTATTTTGTCTGAGGTTTGGAGATGTGCATATTAAGCAGTAAATCTCTTCCATATCATGCCCAACTTTAATGGTCTTTGCTTTAGATAGAAAAGGGCAATTTTAATTTTTGAAATATATTCTGAAGGGCCAGTTGTTTAATTTCAGAAAAGATTATGATTCAAACTTTCTGAGGAATATTTCTTATATGGCTGTCTTAGCGGATTTTTCTGTTGTTTGGAGACCCCCAAATCACATTAGCTAGTTTTCTGATTTTGTGCTAGTGTGAGTTTCCTATTTTACCATTCTGTATGGGAATGTTTGTTTATTTTGTTGCCATTCTCTTTTCCCCAGGGGTTGCTGCATTTTACTTGTGTGGAATGTGTGTGTGATCGAAGTATGTGATCCCAGAGTGCTTTGAATCCTTAGAGATAATTGCTACAGGCTCAAACATTTTCAAGTGCTTGGTAATAAGGTGACTTGAGTTTTGCTCTGGGTGTTGATAAGCAGATGCCTACTATTTGTTAGGCCATTGGCATCCTACAATTTTCAACAGTGACTCTTCGGAGTGTGATGTAGGTATTAATTTTGAAATGCAGAAACTTAGGCCAGTAGGAGTGTAACCAAGGTCATTTATTAAGGAAGCACTGAAGCAGAGTTTAGAGTCCACATCTTAATACTGTAAATTCATCCATATTCTGTACATGACTAGAGTATATTATCAGTGTGAAAAAATTTTAGATTTTATTAATATAAACTTTTTTGTCAATGAAAATGATACCATTGTGTGTCCAGGGTACACTTAAGCATTATGAAATTTACCTGTGCTTAATTTTCTCCATCTTTTTGTCTGTTAAAATGGGAGAGATCATTTTAGATTAGTTCTTTCACTTACACTTTGGATCTTATTCCGATTTTGTTCATTCAGTTATCTCTTCTTTTCCTACATTATCCACCACTCAATTTCTACTTCTGTCCCCATTCAATGCCCATTGGACCAACTTTCATTAGTCTTTAAAAAACTTTGCCTTAATCTCACATGTCCCATTTATTTGTTTCCCTACACAGCTAAACTCCCAAGAGCTTGTGTGTTTGCTGTCATCATTACTTCACTCATTCATTCATTCAGAAACTTGTAATGAACATTTTCCAAGCATACTCACCAATAGAGAAAAATGAATACTAATAATCCCACCTTCAACAACTATCAGCATTTTGCCTGATTTTTTATAAAACAATCTATTTGCACCCACCTCTTTTTCTTTCTCCTGGTATGGTTTAAGATGAATGTAAAAAGAATATAAGATTATTTCATTCTTAAATATTTCCATATGCATCAAGAAGAGGACATTGTGTTAGTTTTTGATTGCTCTATAACAAATTATCACAAACTTAGCAGCCTCGAACAATACACATTTATTATTGCACAGTTTATGACGGTCAAGATTTTGGTCATAGTTTAGGTCAGGGGTGGGCAAACTTTTTGACTCGAGGGCCACAATGGGTTCTTAAACTGGACCGGAGGGCCGGAACAAAAGCATGGATGGAGTGTTTGTGTGAACTAATATAAATTCAAAGTAAACATCATTACATAAAAGGGTACGGTCTTTTTTTTTTTAGTTTTATTAATTTCAAATGGGCCGGATCCGGCCCGCGGGCCGTAGTTTGCCTACGGCTGGTTTAGGTGTATCCTCTGCTTCAGATCTGTTACAGGGCTATAGTCAAGGTGTTGGTAAGGGATGGGGTTTTATCTGGAGTCTTGAGTGGGGAAGAATCTGCTTTTAAGCTCATGTGATTGTTGACAGGATTGTTTCTTGAAAGTTGTTGCCTAGATGCTGCCCTTTGTTCACTTTCAATTTTCCCAACACCATTTATTGACCGAGACTGTCTTGACTCCATTGTATGCTCTTGCCTCCTTTGTCAAATATTAATTGAGCATAGTGGCTTGGGTCTACTTCTGGAGTCTCTGTTCTGTGCTATTGATCTATATGTCTTGTGCCAGTACCAGGCTGTTTTGATTACAGTGGCTTTGTAATATAACTTGATATCTGGTAATGTGATTCCCTCCAACTTTATTCTTCTTTCTGAAGATTGCTGTGGTTATTCAGGGTCTTTTTGGTTCCATATAAGTTTTTGAAGTGTTTGTTCATATTGTGAAATATGCTGTTGGTATTTTAATGGGGATTGCATTGAATCTATAGATTGCTTTGGGTAGTATGGACATTTTAACCATGTTAATTCTACTAATCCATGAACATGGTATATTCTTCACTTGTTTATATCTTCCTCTGTCTCTTTTTCAATGTCCTGTAGTTTTCTGAGTGCAAGTATTTTACCTCCTTGGTTAAGTTTATTCCTGAGTATCTTTTTTATTTTTATTTTTATTTATTTCAGAGAGGAAAGAAGAGGGAGAGATAGAAACATCAATGATGAGAGAGAATCATTTGTTGCTGCCTCTTGTCCACACCCCACTCAGGATCCAGCCTGAAACTTAGGCATGTGCCCAGACTGGAAATTGAACCATGACCTGGTTCATGGGTTGACACTCAACCACTGAGCCACACCGGCTGGACATTGCCGTGTGGCTTTAAGCAGACCCGGTACAAAAATGGACTGCAGATGGGAATCCATGGCCATGCAGACTCTCTACACAAATGGACTGCAGATGGAAACAAGCTAGCCAGATGCTGGACTGGACTGTGCTTTAATACAGAGCAGAGACTCTGGTCAGTGGCTTTAATCTTAGCCCTTCTGAAGACAAAATTCAACTTTTTCCATGGCAAGACAGAGGGAGATGGGACCTTGGAAAGGAACCCCCTTAATTTTACCTAATCAATAAAGCATTCCACCATACCTCATCCTCTTGTGAGGGCCTCAGGAAATTCTTTTCCCTGTGGCACCCAAGAACTCCTTTTCCACCAGTGACAGGTAGGGATGCAGAGGGCTCCCTACAAAAGCACAAAGAAGGCAAAAAGGTTGTTCTAATCTCACCATTGAGAGCTATTGTAGTATATGTTCTTTGTCTTTTCTCCATGAATGTTATTATTACATACAACACTTGATTAATCATGTATGTACTGTAAACTACTTTTTCCCTTCACTTAGTATGTAGTGAACATTTGCAACTATACTAAAGTCAGGCTGTAGAATACATCATGATTACATGGTATTCTGTAACATAGGTATGTCATAATTTATTTAATGAATTCCTTATTGTTAGACAACTAGCTTGTTTATAGTTTGGCTGTTATAAATTGTGCTGTGATGAAGGTGGGTGATTTACATCTCCTAGATTATTTTTTAGGTTAAGTTCCAAGAAGTGGAATAATACTGAGGCTGTATAGTGTGGTGATTAAGAGCATTAATTTTGGAATCAGATTGCCTTGGGTTCCAATCCTTACTTTGTAGGTGTGTATATTTAGGCAAATTAATTTATCTGTCTCAGTTTCTTAATCGCTTATGTATGGAAAATACTTAGAACAGTGTCTGGTATATAGTAAAAGCTCACAAATGTTAGATGCTAGTATCATCATGGTTAGCATCATTATTTTTATTTAAAGTATATGTACATTTAAAATGTTTTTGATATGTATTAAAGTTCTCTCCTAAAAAGTTGTATCAATTTGCATTCCTACTAGCAAAAATGAAATACTATTTACTGGCTCTAGCCAACAACTGAGGTTATAATTAAAGCATGCTTTTTTCTTTTTTTTCGTGTGTGAGCACAGCATTATAGGGA